TGAAGATTTTACCAATCATGCCCTCCAAGAATAACTTTCGAGGTCCCCAACTGGCGCGCAAGCTCTCTCATATCCTTAGCACATTGCCTATAGCCATAGCGCCAGGCAGACTCTGTGTTAAATTTTGGAGCTTCCTATAGATGGTCAATAGAAGTCACATCATACAATGAAGAGACGAAAGATTACACACAGTCCGCCCATAGCCCATACAGTCTGGAGCCACGACTCTTAAACCAAGGTTGAGAAGTGTGGGAATTTGGTATCTCCAACCCATCGAAAGGTCAGGGAAACCATGGATCTGCACATATTCGATATTTTTTAGTTATACTATGATTGCGGATAATGAAGTTGATGGGTAAAGACGAACCAAAAAGATAGTTGCTCGATATTTGCCATCTGGAGGGGTGGCAAGGAGGTACCCTATTCAGCTGTCAGTGGCTCTGAGGGTCTACACGGTGGTTGTATAGATGCATTGATGCAATGATCAAACATTTATGAAATCGGGATGCCATACCGTACGTCGTTCCGTTGACGAACGTAGAACAATGCCTGATTCTCGGGTCAACCGGCACTTGTATCTTATCGAGCGGCATCCTGTCTGTTGTACGTGGAATATGCGGACAAGAGCCGCGGCTTTCTGGCCCTTGCAGGTGGGCAGATATAAGTTTGCAAGATGATTCTCTCCGACAACCCCCTATATATAGAAGTTGTCTGTTACCAGTTTGATAATTGATGCAGTTTCGGTCTTTATATACCCCTGGATTAAACGGAACTACGGAAAGAGTGGATCCCGCGTTCTACCAACGGCCTTGGGACGAGGGAGAGGTCAGCCGAGGTTAAACCGCCGGTACATAGGTCCTATACAGACATCGGCGCGACTTCTACAAAAGCGGGACAAAGCATAGTGATTATTGATGAACTGGATCACTTTGTTTGCTTGACGTTAACTGTACACCACTTTCGAGAACTGTTCGACTTGGATTACTCTTCGAGATGTGCACCTGTTGAGACATCGGGTTACACATTCGGGATTGCCGAAGGTGCGCGGTATGAATAGCAACCATTATCTCACCCAGAACAATGGATATGATACTTTGAAAAATGTTAAAGGTGCTGCGAAAGATGCTGGTAGGGGGAAGAGAGAAACAGCCGGAAAGTATAAAGAAGACAAGGACATACGGCGGAATATCCTATCTCTTCAGCAGCAGAAAGCGCAATGAATGTGGAAGGGATAAGGAGAAAGAAGAATCCACTAGTCAATAAATTACAGCATCCTCAGTATTTTCCATTAGTACCTCACCGGGGTGTTCCTCATCAAGTCCACTTGGTCCTTGGGTTGCAGGAGGCACGGGGACAAGGTTAGTGTCAATTAAGGTTCGTTGCGGAGCCTCACTGGTCTGTTCGAGCGGGTCGTTAGTATTAGATCCTATGAGGTCTGTGGTATCTTTTGTGGCCTTATCCTCAGCGGAGTTATCATCAGGGTTGTCAACGGTAATTTCGCGCTTGTGGATGGTTGACTCATGCTGCTTATAATGTGAACTTGAGTCCATTATTTCCTTCTCTATACTTGATTTTGCTTCTGCAATTTGGCTTTGGATCTTTGTTTCGTCTTGAGGTCGAAGGTACCACGGCCGATAATACTACTAAGAGTTAATAATATTATCTTGAATTATGTCAAGTCACACATGAATATGCGAGGAGAAGGCAGTTTACCAATGGTGGTTCCGCTTTAGTGCGGAGAAAGTGTGCCATTGCAAGCTTGTTCGAGTGACGAATTTCGGCCTATGCAAGCTGTGAGTTAACCGTATCATTCAATGAGAACAAACAACATCCATGATTTTCACATACCGACTGGGAATCATACAAAGCTTGATCTTTCCTCCTTGACGCCATGAGATCTTCATATTTCTTTTTGGTTAGCTCATTATATTCTTTATCCTGAAGCTCCAGCTTTGCTTGCTGTTTCTTGTCGATCTCTGAGCGTTTTCTCTGCGCTGGCGTAGAAGAACTTTGAGATAGTGTTCCAAGTAGGGCACCGAAGAGCCTACGGCCACGTTTCCGCTCCTCGTCCCTCCCTGGCTTGGGTTTATCTGCTGCTTTCACATCACTCGAACCGTTCAACCGTTGAGTATTCGAACAACTTGGCGGGGAAGACTGATTCGCACGCTCGGAGAACTCGTCTGCACTCAGCCGCCTCCTTTTACTGCTGCTGTTACTTGAAATGCTCTGTCTTCGCTTCGATAGAGCCTCTGGACCGGGATACTGTGGGGGTTCAGGTAGCGCGACGGCGGATGCGATTGAGCTGTGTATATATATTAGCAAACTAGCACGTAACGATAAATCTAGTCCGAGGACGTGACACTTTACCTCTCTGCCATGTGTCCTCTGTAATAGCTTCAATGAGATCTGTCACGTAAACGCTGTGTTATTTCGCAGTGGTATGATATTCCAAGATACTATGATATGAGTTGACTGACCAGCTTCTGCTCGCTCCCCGTTGCGGAGTCTTTTTTTTTTTTTTTTTTTTTTTTTTTTGGTTCTAGAGCCAAGATTTATATTACATAATCATATAACTAACAAACTCACATTTAAAGTTCTCCAATTACATCACGAAGACATCGACATCGATTCATGGATACATTCGGACAGGAGCACTCCGTACAACCAGCTGTTCATGCCAACTGTATGGAAAATACGTAAGGTCTGTATGGGCACTTATAGCGGGAAGCATATGATTACCTATTTCAAGCAGATTAATAAATTAGACATCTCGACGTGACTGGAACAGATCCGAAAAAAAGAGCAAAACATCAATTTGGACAGGGCAAAGCGGGCTTAGAGGTGTGGTCTCATTGAGGGATCTTTTTCATGCACTGAAGGTGTCCTCGTTATGCCTTGGATCCTTGCCCTCCTTCGCATAGCTCATCGATAACCGTTCAGTCATATGCTGTTCTACCGTTTTGTGAGAGAATCCAACGCCTTCTTCTGGGTGCCCAAATCCCTCTACTGGCTCCAGATTTGCGTTTAGACAGCCATCGAGGAAGAATACAATGCTATATCTCTCTCTTTCTGGGCGTTTGCATACAACGCGATGCATGCTGCTTTTATAAATGCCGTTGGTAACCATGCTAATCATATCTCCTATATTGACCACGTAGGCGCTAGGATTCGGATCAATGGGCCACCACACCTGCTTTCCGTCTTTTTCGACCAGAACTTCGAGGCCAGGATTGTCGTCTTGGAGGAGCAAGGTGATTACACCAAAGTCGGTGTGCGCCGATGCTCCGTACTGCGGCTTGCCGGTCACACTCCCTCCGTTGCGAGTGGCGGAGGGATAGTGGAGAAGGCGAAGCGGACATGCCGGAATTTTATCCAACCTGATTAGATTGTGCAGGACAGTTGGCATACTTTCTGTCATACCAACGGTGCTATGCCCGTGGGGTATCATTGTATCTCCTACTAGCTGCAGAACCTTGAAGGCAAGGTGTTGGACGCTTTCGTGGTATCGCTCGCATGGTTCCTGGAATCGTATGGTGGACAGTAATTCTGTCGAGGGCCAAACGTTTTGGCCCATGAAGAAACGACCGTACAAAGGATCGGATGGCAGGACGTTGCTGCCTACATAGTAACCCTATTGTTAAGGAATTTCAGCAGGAAGGTTCCGGTTATTAAACACCTATCAGCATAGCACGGGCTATATAAGAAAACGATGACCAACAAGGTCAAAACAGATCACAAAGCAGTATCGTGGTTTTCTCACCTCCTTCAAGTCTGGTAATACGCCTTCTTCGTAGGACTGGCTGGCCAACACATCATACCCCCTATGACCAATGAAATTTGCAGCATTGAGCTTCTTTTTCTCTTCCAATGGCAAAGCAAAAAAGGAATGTGCCGCATCGAAGATGTTCTGTTGCAGAGATTTGGAGATGCCATGTCCAGTGATTTGAAAGAACCCGGTCGAAATGCATGCTTCCCTCACATCTTCAATGACTTTTCGGGAGGCATCGGACTTGGGATCTGCGAGGTAAGGAGATATGTCGACTGTAGGGACACCTGAAAAGCTTCCTTTTGTCATTTTATCGCTATTCAGGATGAACTGTGATACTATGCAAGCTATATCTCGAGACGGATGAATTGTGGGTGATCTATCTTTCACCTTGTGAGTTGGCTGCTGGAGGATAACGAAATATAACTCACAGATGTTCAGCCGATAACTCACAAACATAGTTTTCATTGTTTCACCAAAATAGCCGGGCCCTTTAGGACATAGATGTCGATTATTTTCTACCTGGGCTTCCAACGATTAACTTATTCGGTTCATCAGAGAAACCAAGACACTTATTTGCCTTCTAACCTCAACCCCGAAATGAGGCTCTAGAATGTCGACCCCAATTTTGATTTAGGTCTTAGACGGGATATCACTCGGTTCTTCATGTGAATGTCGTATTCTCGTTACACGTCCACTTGCAGTATGAAATGACTAGGTAGGTCAAGAAGCGAGACATCTCCTAGGAAGTAACATCATACTGAAGGCGGTGTAACCTTCCATGGGACCCGAGTATTATCCACAGTCTCGACCGTCAACCCCGTCCGGCATTCTGAAGGAGGCGAGAGGTGTTGTGGATAAGTAGGTGATCCATGGGGAAGTGCTGAGGGTGAACGGGCCGGCAGGTTCATGACCCCTCTTCGCAGAGCGTATTATTTCGAACCAATCCATTCATTCCAATTGAAAATAGGATGTTAGGTCTATGTGCTGCTGTATTGAGCTTAGAAGTGGACCGATGGAAAGGGGTTTGAAACTGATTTCCAGAGATTTGGTCGATCGGGTTGAAGTGTCAAAAGTTCCAGTAGGCTCACCACATGGAGAGTGAGGTGTAGCTAAAGTCGAAGAAGCCTGCACATCAATGTATCTTTGAGCACATAAATTTAAAATCGCGGGATAATAGTATTAGTTGTATCTCCTTTGAAAGGTTGAAATGCGGCCATTCAAAAGGAAAATTAGTAATACTGCTAATCGAAATGCTGTACATAGTAGTTATTTGCCTTAAATTGGATTCTGTAAGAGGCCGCCGGGACGATTGTTACCAGGCCTATGCGGTAGCAAATGAGTAGCACTTTATTTTTCATGCCTGGGTAAAGGACTCTTAGCGTTGCAGTTACCATGCGTTACGTTGAACGAAGGGGAATTGCAAAAAAAAAAAAAAAAAAAAAAACAAGGAGCTATTCTTACTTACTTCTTTGAACTTACCAGAAAGGGAAGGACAAAATAACAATCTTAAAGTAAGATGTATTAAGCCTCGGGACAGAGGAAGCATGCCAGCTTTCATTTGATATCAAGCTTTTGAGAGTATCTGATTGCCATCACCTGAACTGACGCAGCAGTAGTTCTCCTCATGAGAGATAATGACGACATGGATAATACCCATTGCGGTTTCAAAGAAGGAAATTGTAGTGTCCTTAATAGGTGCAGTTCCATGTCAGGGGTTAAGGCGAAATTTTTTTCCAGCAAACCTGGAAAGCAGCCCACATGGCCTTAAATAGAGAACATCCATAGAAGACATGGAATGGCCAAGATCTGTGCTTCCCTCCCTTCTAGAAGAAAAGAGAAGCGATGTGAGTGTGGCATTTGTCCATTATCAAGGATCAAAGAATCGTTTACCCAATGCAAAATATATTGAGCATTACCCTGGATATGGACAACATTCGAGAGTTAAAACCTCGAAAACTCTGGTCCGAAAAGGAAGACAACGTGTTGCGGAGTGAGGTAGCCAGGCAAGGTAAGTGATTGATTACCAAGAGGAAGTGGGAGCAAGTCACTGATACGCATTTATCTGATAATGATTATCAAATAGCGGAGCATGGAAAGGCGAAAGATTGGCGAACAATTGCTGAAAAGCTCCCGGCCGAAGTAATAAAGGTTACCTCGTCCCCTGGGTGAGGTTTGACTCAACAAAGTTTTCAACTCTAATGCATGGCTTAGATTGCAGAAAACGTTGGATCAAATTGGACGGTCCGGTAAAAAAAGGCCCATGGAGCCAGGAAGAGGACCAACGCCTTCATAAAGCGGTTTTGCTCCATTCTAATGTGTTAGTTACTAAACCGTTGGTGTGCCAAACTCGAATCAGGAGACAGGCTGACGGAAGTTTAGCTGGACGGAAGTTGCGCAAGTTGTAGGAACACGACATGCTGATCGTTAGTTCTCCTAAGCTATATTCTGAAGATGCCTTCACCAAACTAAGCATTTTCGGAGTAATGGTCTAGACACTAACGCGGCATAATAGAGTGCGCTAAACGCTGGTTGCATTTCCTCAACCCCAATTTGAACCATGGCGAATGGAGCGAGCAAGAAGACGAGCGTCTCTTAGCCGCAGTTGAACGAGGAGGACGCAACTGGAGGAAGATCGTGGATGAGATACTCCAAGGAAGATCAGCCACAGACGCCAAAAACAGGTGAGATAAGGGTATAAATAAAAAGCCATTTGCCAAATTTTTTACAGCTTTTAAATAGGCACGCAATCCTCCAGAGAAACAGAAGAAATGGTACCGCAGCAGGTTCGGACCGCCAGAGGCCTTCGTTTTCACGGCGTCGAAGAAATGGCACTACCCTTGAGGCGACTGAGAACCGCGATACAACTAATTGGTGGACAACAGGTTCAATGGATTTTATGAGGGATATTATCCACTATAACTCTCCCATTTGTTCAGTTGGACCGGGAATTGCCAATGGTAGTAATTTCGACGCGCTCCTTATGGAACAACCTAATCAAGTGTTCAGTTCCCCATCTGGATCGGCCTTCATGCATGATCGTACACAGCTCCATGGGGACACTGGGGAGCTACCTGGGTGGCATGTAGTTCCAAGTAGCCACCCCTATCAAGAGAAACCGAATGATCACTATATGGAGTTCCCTGCCAGCTGTGCTCCTAGTTCGCTCGAAAATGCGAGTGAGAGTCACATGGGGATAGCTGATACCTTCTTCGAGTCATTAACCACAATGGTAGATATGGAGGGAGCAGGTGGCTTACATACTCCATCAGTTTCTTCACATTCATTGGACTGCCATTCTTTAACTCGGGAAACGGGGAGCTCGATTGTCCTAGATAAAAGTGAGCAAGCTGACGAAGAGGACGGAGGTGAATATGACGACGACCACAACGAAGAGGCCGCAATTGAGAAGAATGAAGCATTTCTTATCAATAGTTCGTACCACGACCCATCTATGCCTTCCATTGAAGAGATCCTTGGAACGGTTTCAAAGGAAAATCGGAAAAGTACAATGATTTTGCAGCATATGCAGTCGGATCAGGTCGGGCAGGTGTTGGAATTTCTTTTTTCCTCAAATTCATCTGTAGATGTTAAGATAATTAGCGAGAATTAACATGAGGGAGATGAAGATGGACGGTTATTGCAGAATAGGTAGATCCTGGAGAACTTGAGAGTATTAGCTACGTTGGTAATAAATAAACTTAAACTCACTATTACATGTTGTTCTCTTGCTGTATTCACGATTTGGTCGTTGGATCATACTTTATATTGTATTGGTGTGAACGGAGTAAATGAGGGTAAGATTCCGAGAGCATCATGTCTCTTGATCAAATGTCACTGGGCGTGTTTCTGGTTCACAGGCCACTAGTACCCTGATTAAAACTTCAGCTTTATCCAGTGTACAGAGCCTGCTTTTTGCCATCCTTGGATGCCACGATAACATCCGCTACCCTACGGCTGGTGTTCTAAGTTTTAAGTTAGATTTTATGGTGTCCGACCTGCTATTAAAACGGAGGGGGAATCAATGTAAATAAAACTATGTAATGAATATCAGAGACTTACCACAGAATTGTGCGCATCTATTGACACTTTCTGTAGGGTATTCCCCTAGAAGGAATCCGGCATAAGAGAAGAGTTTCTCCGTACTATTACTAACCGCAAAATGAAAGATATATATCCTTCAAACCAACAATCGATGCTGAATAGCGATTTTTCACGGCTGAGATTCAAACTGGATCGTATATCCCATAGGGCATTGCGCGATGACAATCACAGCTGAAGCGGTTGCGGCCTCATGATTGACTACAGGTAGCTAGGCAAACTTGGATTACCTATTGGAGGAATTGGTGACTTTGGCGCACAGAATCGAGATGAAACAGCAGCTCCTGCGAACGATGCAAATGATATATGAGCTTGTTGTACACCGTGAGGAGCGGAAGGGTGTATCTTAGAGCAATCTTTCCGGATTTAAGGCCACGCTGCACGATAACCCCGATATACTCAGCTCCCGCTTACACATGATCGCACGGGCGGGAAAACTTGAAGATATGAGGGACCGTAAGTAAAAAAGGTCGAGCATTCAACGGCACAAAGGCGACACAGAATAGTAGACTCAGTGCTCACAGTAGCATGAAGAGATCGATGCCTAGGTCCTTGACACCATTGCTGTTACCCTCTAGGCAAACCGTGAAGGTGTTCATGATAATCTGTGCCAGGTACGCGCGTACACGAGGGGCATATTCAACATCATATCCAAAGTTGCTCCCCGTTTTAGCCATCTCCAGGGCGTTGCCAGTTCCATATACCAAGAATCAATCCTGCCCTCCACTCTGGCCTAACTATCTTTTCGACTGCTAGGGGAAGATCCAATAGGCACGATCGGCCATCTTGAAGGAAGTCAAAACATCAGTTTTCTAGGTGATACAAGAGCATCAGTGTATGATACCACGACCTACATCTCGAAATCGAGGAGTTTAGGAGTGCATTCCCATCATCATCAACGCGGCTTGTGGAATAACGAGACGAGGTTGCAATAAGCTCACCAAGACGGGGCTAAAAGTATTTTAGTTCGTTTTAAGAATGACTAGCTTCGAAGCCACGGCTCTTGGCAACGCTCCCCATGTCGACGACGACGAGCTGTTCATCAACGACGTCAACTTACGGGATGCAAGGGACGGACAAAGAAAAGATAACGGTGGTGGCCGCGAAAGGCTTAGGCTGGAGGAAGAGATTCCTTCGGAGAATGAGTTTCGCACTACCGGCTTGAGGCTGTTTTTAATCCTGAGTTCGCTGCTTGTTTCCGTGTTTTGCCAGGCTCTCGATGATACCATCATCGCGACAGCTATACCCCCGATCACGGACCAGTTTCGCCGGTTAAGCCATGTAGGCTGGTATGGATCTGTCTATCTCTTAACGAATTGTGCCTTTCAACTCTTCTATGGCAAGCTGTACAAGATCTTCCCATTGCGCTGGGTTTTTATGAGCGCCCTCTTCATCTTTGAACTCGGCTCGCTAGTTGCAGCTATAGCTCCCAAAAGCGAAACATTGATAACCGGTCGTGCCGTTGCAGGTATTGGTGCAGCTGGAATAACGAGTGGCGCCATGACTATCATGGCTCACACCGCCCCTGTTCGTTGGCGCCCAACATTCACCAGTATGATTGGCGCAGTATACGGGGTTGCCAGTGTTGTTGGCCCTTTATTAGGAGGAGTACTTGCAGAAAAGGCTAGCTGGAGGTGGATTTTTTATTTGAATTTACCTCTTGGCGGAGCCTCAGCATTTATCCTCTCACTTTCGCTCAAACGACTGCCACCCAGTGCTGGTGGGCAGAACTTGACTGTTGCCATGACGGTCAAGCGACTAGATCTGGTGGGCACCTTCACCTTTATTGCCAGCATAGCTTGTCTTCTCACAGCATTGCAGTATGGTGGAACAACAGCTCCATGGTCGTCTGGTCTCGTTGTTGCCCTATTAACGATATTCTCAATACTGTTGGCTACATTTATCCTAGCTCAGGTTCTACAGAAGGACGAAAATGCAACGATCCCAACGCATATTGCGAAAAATAGAAACGTGGCATTTGGGGCCTTTTTTGCGATCTGTCAAGGCGGTGCTTTCAATATCTTTATCTTTTATCTCCCACTATACTTCCAGGTTATAAAAGGCGCCAATCCGATCAGGTCCGGTATAAATTATTTACCACTAATCTTGGTTAATACCATTGGTATTATTATATCCGGTCTTCTCACTACTAAACTTGGCTATTACATGCCCTGGATTTGGTTCTCTAGCATGACGATGCCCATTGGAGCCGGCCTCCTGACAACGTTAACTGTTGATTCAAACCCTAGCCAGTGGGTAGGATACCAGCTCGTATTTGCTATTGGTTCAGGGTTTGGCCTACAACAACCATTTGTGACCGCACAGACTTCACTGCCGCTTGAAGAAGTGAGTACTGGTATGGCGATCATGTTATTCTCCCAACTGGGGGGAGGAGCAATTTTTGTCCCTGTTGCACAGAGCGTTTTTCTCTCAGAGCTTGTGACTAGTGTGGGAAGGGCAGGAATCCCAGGTTTAGATCCTCATCAATTGATCACACTGGGTGCGACCCAGTTCAAGCAAATTATTCCCCCAGCGGATATTCCGAAAGTGGTGTTAGCCTACAACAGTGGCCTTCAACAGGCATATAAAGTTGCACTCGTTTTGGCTTGCGTGTCTATTATTGGGCCTCTGGGTATGAAATGGGTTTCGCTGAAACCAGCCACCCAAAAGGAAAACCCAGGTATAGCTGATCTGGATAAGGTGTAATTAAGTTGTAGAGAAGGAAATGTGCCTTTCTTGGTATATGTACCACCGATTTTCCTGCGCTTACTTGGAGGGTCAGACACAGGCAATATGAATGAGGGGAGAGCAATATATTAATTAAGTTTTAATCGGGGGGGAAAATGAAGGATTGTCAATATGATAACTTAAAGAGGTAAATCAAAAGTGACTGAAATTATAGAATGCCTGATCGAAGTAGTATAACTTCATTTCTGAACACTTTCCCCCCTTTTTGCCAAGCAGCCGGGTACCTTACCTATCTCGGCAATGTAAATATCACGTGACATATAATTAGCTTTCCGGATAAACTCTTCTCCTGAGCCGCACTTTAAATCCACGTTGAGTGACGAACCACCGATTCATTACAACCCAATCACCACCCTCGTCAGGCTCGAGGAGCTCGAACTATTTTGCAGGCAAGCGAACTTAGTCCGGGCGACTAATTACCTCAGATACCATATGAGACCTATCACTTACATGAAAACGCCTTAATAATGTCGGCACGACCTTATAAATTTCCAGCAGAGCAATATTCTTGCCGATACAATTGCGATGGCCAGCACCAAACTAGAACTTGAATGAGCTGAGGGTTGATGGCGGGTAAAAAAGGTACTCAATATTCCTGCTTACCGTGAGGAGACACTTTTCCATGTACTTTGCCTGCTCTAGTTCGCACAGCCATCTTTCTGGTCGCCACTTATCGCAATCTGCCCCAAATGTTTGTTCATGGTGATGGGTCACCCAAGAACTCATGCCAACAACGGTTCCGCCTTCTAGTCGTTGGCCACAGATATTAGCACCTTCTGCAGGAATTACCCTCTCCATAGGAAGTCCAAGTGGAGGATGCATGCGGCCTGCTTCATTAATACATGCATTAAAGTATGGAAGATCCTTGGCTTGTCTAAATCCAGCAAGGTCTTCGAGGTTCCCTGCTTCAGCGGCCTCGTCAAATTCTGCCACCAGGCGCTTGAGGGTACTCGGATTATGCAAAAGATAATAGAACATAGCTCTTAGGAACATTGCCGTGCTATCACTGCCCGCGGTAATATTTGAAGAAGTCCATACCAGGAGCGCACTTTTGAGAGCCACCCACAATATCAGTCAGCCAATATCGCTATTTAGTCAAAAGCTTCACTTACAACGGAGGGACTGATGGATCGCTGGCTTCCACTTCCATAAAACGTGACAACATGTCTCTGTTGTTTATCTTCCATTCTTTCTTTAGTTCACCCTTTTCGATTTTTTGCCTTTCTTGAACCCTGCGCATTGCAAAAATCACTCCAGGACTTTGAATATTCTTCCTGAAAAAGCGTAAAATGGGGTTATTTGTCCAAACATCCCCTAGCCAAGGCATTTGTGTCACCTTTTTTTTTTTTTTATTGTTAGAGTTTCATTTCTCTAACATATCTTTGGGGGACTGGGCCGATCTCACCAAGGCAGTTTTTTGGAGAGTGCTCCAAAGCTCCGCCATAACTCCATCTATATCTTCTCCTTTCTCCATGAAGCCGAACCGGTGGGAGAATGTTAACTCTCCCATGACATCAAAAGCAAACATTTGCAACCACTGCCCAAAATCGCATGGAATAGTTTTCCCACTTCCACTTCCACTTTCGGTCTTAGCAAACCTACTCTCAAGCTGCTCGCAGAATACTTTCATGGCGGTATCGACATAAGGCTCAAATGAAACCAGGTGGCTCATTGAGTAGACATTAGAGATAGGACGCTTCAATGCTCGGTGGATTGCCTCATTCTGAGTGGCAAATATTCCTTCGACTGGTTTACTCCGCGTCTTAAGCAATAGGGAGCGATAGAAATCTGACTATTATGCTGTAAGTCAAAACATCATATCGATCCCTTATTCTTTCCCCTCACCTTTGGCCATGGTTTCTTGAATGAGTATATGGTTCCTATTTCCCTTGGGTCTCCTACGCTCACCATGTTCGGGCCGAAACGTACGATGGGGCCATATTTTTTGTGCAGGTCGATATGAATTCTATGGGCGTTGAAACTCTTTACCCAGAGTAATCGAGGAATATTCGTGAATCTAGCAAAGAACGGCCCAGGTATGTGGGATAGGCGATAATATGACTTAACTGATATAACAAGAAAGATAACAAGAGGAAGAAGGATAGAGAGGCCCAATACATAGGTATGTTGAGACGGCAAGCCTGGTAACAATTCTAGATGACCCATGGCTGCTAGTTTGGAATGTGAGGTGGAAAACCCAGGGAGATGCGTCAAGCGTGTCTCTTCTACAGATACAATTATGACTGGCCATATCTCGCCTAAGCTTGGAAATATAAATCAGTGTGTACCACCCTGTCTTTGTACTCAGGTCCTGCTACTCAGGTTAACCCCCTTGCAGATAAACTCCTCTTTTAGTTGCCTGGAATACACTTACCGCCACAGCTATTGAGAGCTATTCGGGTCCGCCAGCATACTCAGGACCGGCCGGCGATAACTATGCCATTGGTCCCAAAAAATCACAGGCTTAGACCTGCACCTTTACAACATTCCGCTCGTTACATCTGACGTTTCTTTAATGGAACGTCATCCTTCTTGACCTTCCACTTTCTATATATTAATATTTTGACGTAAGTTGTACGAACACACAAGTTCAACACCGGCTCATTTCAGAGCTACCAACATTCGTCATGGTTGGTACATTGTCAACACCCGCCAGGGCTCCTACTATTCATCTATTTGGACCCCAGGCACTTGCCTTTCGTGGAGAGTCTTTCAGTAAACTGAAAGCTGTGCTCTTTAGCGTGCCTTATAATCAGTGGATTCTGGACGTCATCGAAACTCTTCCGGGGTTGTGGGATGCTGCCTCAAAAGAACTTCCATTTATGCAAAAGTTTCCTGGGGGACAGTTGCTGGAAAACTTGGCTGTCTGGATTAAGGAGAATACCACCACAGAGGCAATATTTCCTCTCCCCAATATTCTCCTAACGCCTCTTGTTGTCATCACTCATTTAACCCAGTACCGGAGATATCTGGAGCATATTGATCCTACATACCCGGCAGGCAACTGTTTTCAGTCACCTATCCATATCAAGTCAGAAGCACTCGGCCTTTGTACTGGCCTCCTGACAGCCATCGCAGTATCTAGTTCTACAAATCCGGAGGAGTTTAGACGCAATGGCGCTGCGGCAATACGGCTTGCCATGCTCATTGGTGCCCTGGTTGATTCTGAAAATGAAAGCAACTCGGAAGGAGGGGCCATATCTCAATCTATTACATGGAATTCTCTGAGATCTCAGGTGAAGATGCTAGAAATTATAAAGCAGTTTCCCCAGGTAAGTTATAATCAACCTAAGTTTTAAGGTATATATATATAAATATTTATGAAACTTCCAGGCGTATATCTCGGTACTTTATGACGAGAAACGAGCCACGATTACATGCACCAAGGTTATTGCGGGAAAACTCGCTAATCTCATGAGAAAAGAGGGCTTGATAGTTGCCGAGCTCAACCTGCAAGGGTATTTCCATTACCAAGGACATCAAGACTCTGTGGAACTACTTATTCAGCTGTGTGATTCGAATCCGGAGTTACAATTTTCAAACCATTCATCACCAGGTCATTCAGACCATGGTCATGAATCAGATTCGGGTTTTACGAAAGACACGAAACCCCATCAATTAGCTCTAAGATCCATATTGGTCGAACAATGCGATTGGTATCGTACCTTTGCAGCTACTTACACTTCAAATTCGAATGGGTCTCAGTCACAAGTGGTTCTTTTTGGTCACGATAACTGCGTACCACCATCTATGGCGCGGAATCTTGGGCGAAATCTAATAAATGCAACAAACCTCGATGAAGTGCTGCCTTCAGCCGAACTCCATCCTCATTTGGAAGCAACACATAGTCATGTACGAGATGACAATGATATTGCTGTTGTTGGCATGGCTTGCAAAGTAGCTGGAGCGGATGATGTTGAACAATTTTGGGACATATTACGCGCTGGAAAATCACAACATACTGAACCACCCTCTGATCGTTTCCACTTTGGCACTTTTTGGCGAGAACTGGACCCAAAAAGGAGATGGTACGGCAATTTTATAACCGATTTCGATGCTTTCGACCACAAATTCTTTAGGAAAAGCCCTCGCGAAATGATATCAACTGACCCCCAGCAGCGATGGATGCTTCAAATTGCATACCAGGCTCTCCAGCAGTCAGGGTATTACTTGTCTCCGGATCGGGACAAACACATAGGCTGCTATATAGGTCTCGGGTGTGTGGACTACGAGCATAATATTGCCTGTTACCCAGCAAATGCGTTCTCTGCAACGGGGAATTTGAGGAGCTTTGTCGCTGGTAAAGTTAGCCATTACTTTGGCTGGACCGGCCCTTCTCTTACCATTGATTCTGCTTGCTCATCCTCAGCAGTGGCCATTCACCATGCTTGCAAAGCTATACTTAGTGGTGAATGTACTGCTGCTATAGCCGGTGGTGTGACAATATTAACAAGCCCCCTATGGTTTCAAAATCTAGCCGGTGCATCATTTCTCAGCCCTACAGGCAACTGCAAACCTTTTAATGCAAATGCCGACGGTTATTGTCGAGGGGAAGGAGTTGGTGCGGTGGTACTCAAAAGGCTCTCAACAGCCCTTGGTGATGGAGATCAAATCCTAGGCGTCATCTCCAGTAGTGCTGTATATCAGAATCAAAATTGCACCCCGATAGCTGTCCCTAACGCCGATTCTCTTTCAACCTTATTTCGCGATGTGACCAAGCAAGCCGGCCTTGATCCCAATCGTATTTCAGTCGTTGAGGCACATGGAACGGGGACTCCAGTTGGTGATCCGGCTGAGTATGAAAGTATTCTCAGGGTATTCGGAGGCCAGAACCGTCCAGATACACTTTCCTTGGGTTCGGTTAAGGGCCTTGTTGGGCATGCAGAAACTGCTGCCGGTATCGTTTCGCTAATCAAAGTTCTTCTAATGATTCAAGAGCGATCCATTCCGCCACAAGCAAGCTTTAACACGATCAATCCTGCAATCAAGCGGTCTCCTTCCGATAACATGGAAATTCCTACGAATCTAGCCAAATGGGACACAGAGTTCCGAGCAGCCTTGATCAACAATTATGGGGCATCAGGCTCAAATGCTTCACTCATTGTTACTCAACCCCCGGAGCAAGCACTAAGCAGTACCACCCACAGATCATCCTTCCCTTCAGAGATCAAATACCCTTTTTGGTTCTGTGGAAATGATGATAGCAGTATCCAGAGATATATTGCACAATTCCGTCAGTTTTTGGAGTCGAGTAAATGCCTCGGAAAAACCATCACCGCCCCTGACTTATCGTTTAACCTTTATCGTCAATCAAATCGAATGCTTAGCCGTGCACTCCTGCTAAGCTCTGGCTCGATGGCTGAACTGGAAGTCACTCTTAAAATATTCGAGAACGATGTCTCCCAAATTGAATCAATGGAGTCCGTTGATATTCGATCCGTTATTATGTGCTTCGGTGGTCAAATATCGACTTTTGTTGGCCTGGACCGTGAGATCTACGATACTTGCAAAATATTTTGCAAATATATGGATCAGTGCAATTCTATTATCATGTCTCTTGGGCTAGATGGTTTATTTCCAGATGTTTTCCAGAAATCTCCAGTGAAAGACATTGTTAAGCTTCAAACCATGCTCTTTGCCACTCAATACGCTTCTGCTATGGCGTGGATAGAATGTGGGGTTAAGCCGGTTGTACTTCTTGGACATAGCTTTGGAGAACTCACTGCTCTCTGTGTCTCTGGAGTGCTATCCCTTACCGAAGCAGCAAAAATGATTATAGGACGTGCGCGTCTAGTTCGAGATCTATGGGGCACCGACAAGGGCTTGATGATGGCCATTGAGGGCGACATCCAGGAGGTTCACCACCTTTTGAGCGAAGCAAACAGGCTACAAGAGGGCAGTCAGAAGGTGACTATTGCCTGTTATAATGGACCCCGGAGCTTTACAATTGCCGGGCCAGTTCAGTCTGCAAAATTTATTGAGGAATTGTTGGTCAATACTCCAGTATTTTCATCAATGAAGTGGAAAAAGTTGAATGTTACAAATGCATATCACTCGACCCTTGTTGAACCTCTTGTGGAATGTCTCAAACATTCAGGAAGAAGTTTAACCTTTAATGAAGGTAGAATCCCAGTTGAGAGGTGTACCGAACATCCACCTTCTTCTGGCACATTCGTTACAGAGTTTATAGCACAGCATATGAGATACCCGGTATATTTCAACCACGCTGTGCAGAGGCTGTCACTCAGATATCCATCGTCCATCTGGCTTGAAGCTGGCTTTAGCTCCACAATCACAACAATGGCTGGCCGAGCTTTAAACCTACCTTCAGATTCTCATTTCCAGGGTATAAATGTCACGAGTGGCAGGGGATTGCAAAGCCTTGCTGACGCTACTATGAACTTATGGAGAAACAGGCTGAATGTCACATTTTGGCCCCATCACTCTTTGCAAACCTCTGAGTATAACCAGTTACTCCTCCCTCCTTATCAATTCGACAAAACGAAGCACTGGGTTACTCTTAAAAAGCCAGAAGAAGCCCTTTTTAAACGTCAGGGCGAGCCTCAACCCCGAGAAGAGCAACCCCTGGGGCTTTGGGAATTTGTTAACTACAATAAAGATGACAAACGCAGCGCTCGATTCAAGATTAACACTGCCAGTACCGAATTTCATGAGTATGTGGCTGGCCACACTATTGCGCATGCTGCTCCTTTATGTCCCAGCACGCTTCAGCTGGATATTGTTATTGAAGCTCTCCTAAAGCTGCAACCAGAATATCTTTCGCACAACCTTCAACCACAACTTCAAGGGCTTGAAAATCATGTCCCAATCTGTCTTGATCCAACTCTCTGTGTCTGGCTGGATGTGGAAGCCATAGATCCAGACGCACTCATTTGGGAATTTAGGATGATTGGTGAACCAACTGGAGGTAGACAAACTCCAACGCTACATGTTTCTGGAAAGATTAGATTCAAATCCAACCAGGACATACAACTTCTCAACGATTTTGCCAGGTACGAACGCCTTTCTGGGCATGAGCGTTGTCTGTCGCTCCTGAATGGGGATGATAGCGGTGATATTATACAAGGACGCAACATTTACAAAGTATTTGCCGAAGTCGTGGATTACGGCCAAATTTATCGAGGAGTCCAGAAGCTTGTTGGAAGAGGAAACGAGTCAGCAGGAAGAGTGGTGAAAAAATATACCAGACGGACATGGCTTGATACTCCCTTGGCAGACTCTTTCTGTCAATGCGCCGGTATTTTTGTCAACTGTATGACCGATATATCAGAAAATGAAATGTATATCTCGACAAAAATCGAGCAATGGACTCGCTCACCTAAGCTACTCCCTGGTGATTCACGACCGGATGTTTGGAATGTCCTTGCGCTTCATCGCTGCCCTTCCGATAAGGAGTTCCTCAGTGACGTATTCATATTTGATTCTCAAAATGGGGAGCTGTTAGAAATTATCCTCGGTATAGGTTACAAGAGGGTATCGAAGCGAAGTTTAGGGAAAATGCTTACCAACCTCACTCCTGGAAACCAAAAGGCTGAAGCCAAAGACATGCAGCCACATGTGGGCACTGAAATTGATATTGAGGCTTCCTATTCTACCCCGCCGCCAGTTGGAACAACTCTAACAGACTCTCCCGGAAATGGGCCGCCCAAGGATGTTTCTGAAGATATAAGGAATCTTCTCGCAAATGTCTCTGGACTAGAAACTCACGAAATTAAGGGTGACACTGTTCTTTCTGATATCGGCATTGACTCATTGATGGGTATGGAGCTGGCCCGGGAAATTGAGACAGTGTTCAAGTGCTCATTAGACACTGAAGTACTTAATGCAGTAACCGACTTCAAGAGTTTGATGAAATGCATACAGGAAGCCCTAGGCTGCAAAATAGCCGATAATGTGGTTTCAAAGCCGGAAACGAATACGAGTACCATCGATATGGGTATCACAGACGCCCAGACCGCCAACGGTCCACCTCAGGTTAATGGCAGCCTTGCTGAAGATGAAATACTAAATATTCCACCTGACACAATTATCAATGCTTTTGAAGAATCAAAGAGGCTGACAGATGAATTTATATTCAAATATAAATTTGCAGACTATGCCGATTATGTGCTGCCCAAGCAAACCGAGCTGTGCATTGCCTATATAACTGAGGCATTCGAGAAACTAGGATGCTCACTTCAAAAGGCAAAAGAGGGTGAACGGTTGGATCGAATTCCATATCTCCAAAAACACCATAAATTTGTGAATTATCTCTACATGATGCTTGAAAAGGTGGCTCGACTGGTAGATGTGGATGAAAATGCTATAATCACCAGAACTGCCATCACGCCGCCCCTCAAACACTCTACCATTTTATTACATGATCTGATAATCAATCATCCGGATCACGCCAATGATCACAAACTTACTCATCTTATCGGGTCTAAATTGGCGGAATGTTTATCAGGCGAATGCGATGGTGTCCAGCTCATATTTGGCTCCTCAGACGGAAGAGACCTTGTTTCTGGTCTTTATGGCAAATCTCCCATAAATATGGTGTGGCTCAGGCAGATGGAAGATTTCATACACCGTCTTATACAGAAACTTCCAACTAACAAAGGGCCTCTTAAAATCTTAGAAATGGGGGCGGGGACGGGGGGTACCACAGCAATTCTTGCTCCATTCCTCTCCAGTCTTCAGATGCCAGTTGAATACACCTTCACGGACCTCTCAGCATCTTTGGTTGCAGCTGCGAGAAAGAGATTCAAAGATTACACTTTTATGAAATTTCGTGTTCATGACATTGAGAAGGAGCCTGCTACGGAATTGCTCCAGAGCCAGCATATCGTGATAGCGGCCAACTGTGTCCATGCCACGCATAACCTGGTTAATTCAACCAAGCAGATCCACCGGGTTTTGAGGCCAGACGGATTCTTAATGATTTTGGAAATGACTGATACTCTATACTGGGTTGATGTTGTATTCGGAGTCCTGGAGGGCTGGTGGCTTTATAACGACGGAAGGAAACATGTAGTAGCACATCAATCCATCTGGGAGAAGTCCATGCACTTGGCTGGATACGGCCATGTGGACTGGACTACGGGGGCTCGCCCTGAAACAAGTATCCAGCGACTTATCATTGCTTTGACTTCTGGACCCAGGTATGGTCGCTTGCCGATGACCCCAAACAATGCTCCGAGTCAAGAAACTGACTTTGTGGCTCGGCAGGCCATAGTCGATAAATATACGCGCGAATATTCAACCTCATTTCCTGCACCCGGGACAGCCACTGAACCAATACTTCCGGAAGCGCCGCAAGGACATAGCGTACTGGTCACAGGAGCAACTGGAAGCCTAGGATCTCACCTTGTTGCTCACTTTGCACGACTTCCCACAGTCAGAGAAGTTGTGTGCCTAAACCGACGAAACACCGTGGATGCACTATTGCGTCAGGTTCAGTCACTAGAGGGAAAGGGTATCTTCCTGAATGAGAAGTCTATGTCAAAACTGAAAGTAATGGCAACCCAAGGAGAGAAAGAGATGCTGGGGCTGCAAGATTCTGAGTACCAGTACTTGGTGCACTCGGTTACCCATATTGTTCATGGAGCATGGCCAATGAGCATAAAGCGGCCAATCAAGGGATTTGAATCACAATTCCAGTTTATGAGGAATTTGATTGATCTGGCTGTTGAAATATCAAAATTGAAGAGTGTGACTCCTGGGTTCCAATTTATATCATCCATCGCAACTGTTGGTTACCATCCCTTGAAGACTAATAAGGTTCTAGTGCCAGAGGAAAGAGTGGAAGTCGACTCAGTGCTTCCGAGTGGTTATGGCGATGCCAAATTGGTATGTGAGAAGATTATGGAGCAAACACTTCATAAACTGCCCGGCAGATTCCGACCCATGTCTGTTCGTATAGGGCAAATATCAGGATCTAGAAAGAGTGGATATTGGAATCCAGTGGAGCATTTTTCATTCCTCGTCAAGTCGTCACAGACACTTCGGACGCTGCCTGATCTTAAAGGGGTGAGTTATTGGCTGAATGGATTCCTCTGGACTTCAAATATGAATGTATACTAATAAAATACTAGGAATTATCCTGGCTCCCTGTTGATGAAGTTGCAGCGGCACTTGGCGACCTCCTCTTATCGGACACCATGCCATCACCTATTTACCACATCGAAAATCCCATACGACAACCGTGGAGCGAGATAGTTTGCCTTCTGGCTGATACATTAGATATCCCACGTGCTTCCATTGTTCCATTTGACGTGTGGATGCGCCGAGTTCATCATTTTACTGGTTCAACAGAGTCAAATAACCCGGCCAAAATGTTACTAGAATTTTTCAAAGATCATTTCAGGCGGATGTCTTGTGGTGGCCTAATTTTGGATACCAACAATAGCAGAAAAGATTCCCAAACTTTGGCAAATGCTCAACCTATCGATCCAGCCCTTGTTGCAAAATATATAGCGCAATGGAAAGACTCTGGATTTCTCCGTTGACATATCCCCTATTACTTGATGTTTATCTCACGGCGAAGGACAGTTACGGATATCATTCAATCCTTTGGAAATACGGCGGCTGTTTACTTTTATCTGAATTCCATTAGTTACTAGAGACAAGTTGCATGTAATACTACCGTCAAATCGATCCCGGCTTTCTCTGCACAATCCCGCTCCGTCAACAATCCATGTATATGTCGAATAGACTCTAAACATGGCTCTCCGTTCATTGAATGGGTTTTTTGTCTGCCATTTATATATTTGACGATCTACCCATAAAGGAATTAAGGGGGTTAAATATTCTTAAACTGAAATTTACAATTATATATGCGTATATTTTTGGGCCTAAGGGCTTTTCCATCTCGTCAACTCGGGAGGCAGATTCTGAGGCTCACTTTAAGTTAACTTCACGTCGGCTCGGCTCGCGCGTCAAAACCGAACAGCCAGCTAGACTACAGCCAACCAACCTTGCTGGAATCTTAAACTTTAGGCGCATTCCACTATCCTTCGTTTCATAATGCGGGATGTCATTTTAATTAACTAGTTAAACAAGACGGATGAAGCCGCCCTTCTGATTCTAAGCGCGGATAATCTCAGAATCAGCCGCTACTTTCAACCAACGGCAATAGTCATGGAACTCTGCCCTAGCTCAGTATAAGTTAGCTAGCTATATCAACCATGACGTGATGTTTGGATAAGTTTTCACCTTTTGGAGCTTGCTGGTGGGTGTAACCAGTTAACTAGAATGACCACAGCCAAGCTCCGTGGTTAATTGGATAGTTAACTAGTTAATCAATTAATATTCTTCTGCGCCGTAAGAGAACCAAGACATCTAACGGCAACAAGCATCCAATGCGAATTCACCTATGTCTCGACCACGGATCTTGTTGGCCTTCTTTCATGCCGACAGGGCGCCTCGAAACTGTATCCTTACTCCAAACTTCTACAGTCATCGAACCGACAGGCAACAAACCCGCTTCACAAGTACGCCATTTTCTCCAGCTGCCAGCATAGCCAAGACAATCCCCGCTGGCACAGAATTAATAGGCCAATCTGGTCGTCACTATATAATTGAAAAAGTTCTCCAGGCCAAAGAGAATTCGCCTTTGCATGTTTATCTCGCTAAGTGTGTACACGCCTTGAAGAACCCATCATTTCATGAAGCTAACTCTTGTTTGTTTGATAGGTCTGAAAAGGAGGATTTTGTCCTTAAAAATGTCCCCGATTTCGAGTACCTTCAGAAAGTCTATCAAAAAGTAGATGGCTGCTCTTACCTCCGCCTACCACAAGATTCAATGGCCGAGCGCTCGATGTTTGTTTATAGATACCTGACGACCGACTTTTTGAATCTACCTGTCAAAAATGAATTACCATTAGACACAACCAAGCGAGTTCTAAGAGATGCGTTGCAGGGCCTTGCTGCATTGCATGATAATAACATAATGCATAATGGTATTCCATACTGTCATTGGTCTCTAAACGATTAAGCTAACCTTTACAGATATCAAGGCAAACAATCTTGGTGGATCAAAAAGAAGATGGCTCTATCACAGATGTCCGACTAGGCGATCTTGAAGATGCTGCAATTGTGCCACCAGGCTGTGGGATATCAGGGAGACAGTTAGGTAATTGGACGTTCCGTAGTCCAGAAGCTCATGCTGAGGGGCCCATGACTTCGCCCTCTGATATCTTCTCATTTGCAGTCGTGGTAAGTATATGTGTCCCTTTTTAGTAGCTGTGTACTTCGTTAATATAAATTAGTGTATATACGCCGTCCACAGACGGCTTATCTTTTCAGTTGACGAGAGTGAACTTGGTGCTGGAGAGGAGATATTAGCCCACGTTATTGAACGGCAGATATCATACTTTGCAGATGAAGATAGCATCCAGGAGTTTCTAGAACTGATCAGAGAGAGTCCTTGGGCTGAGGTCTTCAAGATCACCAGTGATGGTTTCAACAACGAGAACCCTCGAAAGCCATTTGCTCTGTGGAAAGGCGTGGATCCAGTGTTCAAGGACCTAATCTGTCGAATGACACATTTCAACCCAAGGAAAAGAATAACAGCGCGTGGGGCACTAGAACACGAGTGGTTCAAGGGAATATAGACGATCTCTTCTGGGAAGCTGGGAACCGCTGCCAAAGCCTCCCCTGCTAGCAACGTTAGCTCTCCGTGCACTTCTTAACACCGACAGGGGGGGGTTGGGAGGGTTAACTAGTTAGGCAGTTAATTATTTTCAATAAACCAAATATAGACTCGGTTTAAGGTAAATAACGAGATTTCTTAAATGGGCTTTTGGCCTGACTGGTATAATAGAGTGGCGCTTTCTCGGGCCTAGGTTGGTAGGATGGATTCAAAGCCGAGAGACGTCGTGGTGGAATAGCTTAGTCATCAATGAAAAAGCGGCGGGACTTTGGTTCCTGATTTGGGAAGCTTCTCGAAAACAACTTTGAAAATAAAAAGAAGAGAGAGAGAGAGAGAGAGAAGAAACCAACAACTGCTGGGAAGAACAGACACCGAAAACAGCTGTTGAAAGGCACTCTCACCTACCGTTAGATACACAAACCTCCCATCATGTCGCGTCATCACCCAGATCTCGTCATGTGCAGAAAGCAAACCGGCATTGCTATCGGCCGCCTGTGCGATAAATGTGACGGCAAATGTCCCGTCTGCGACTCCTATGTGCGGCCTACGACCCTGGTGCGCGTGTGCGATGAATGCTCCTTTGGCAACTTCCAGAACAAATGCATTGTATGTGGCGGGGAAGGGATCAGTGACGCGTTCTACTGTTTCGAATGTACCAGACTAGAGAAGGATAGGGATGGGTGTCCGAAGATTATCAACCTGGGCAGCTCGAGGACCGATCTATTCTTCCAACGGAAACAACATCGTGCTGGGGCAGGCGGCGGTGGGGGTGCGATAGTTTGATACGATTGGAGGCAGCCGTATTGCGCCTGGCTGCTAACCACGAGGCCGAAAATTCTACGAGCACATCACTGGGAACGCTGTGTCCAAATATCTATGCTATGTCTGGGCTGGTAGTTAACGCTATCGAAAGCTACCCCTTCATGATACAGCCAACTGTGTCCGTCTGGGCCTTCTACTCTTTTGATAGAAAAGCAAGAACCGAAACATACCTACCTCTTACCCGGTCTCTTTGGTCTGGCGAATGCTTTCTTGACCTCTTGGACAGGCGGGCTTATCTCCTCCTGCAGTCTATCGGGTGTGATTTCATCTGCACCGGATGCCTCGATCTATATTGGTTTAACGGAAATCACCACGTCAGCGTCTTACTTTTCGAATATGCCCATTCCCGCTTACTATTGGAATCTAATACGAGGGAAGAATAGGGAACATACCTTATGATTGACAGAAACACCGTTTCGAGTTGCCCACACCAACAATCCTGCACGGCTACTAGCGTGCAACATGCGCTGCTTGATGGAGGAACCGGAAGGACATGTGTAAATGAAGATCAACTCGGAGGAGCCGGGATGGCGATAGAAGGTGTACTGTGGTTCTGAGGCTGGGATATGCCCTGATAGAGATTCTGGCGCAACGCTAGACTCTGTTCCCACTAGGTTCAGCGTCTCTGTTTTCACATCAATAGCCTGTCATGTATATTGTTAGACTCAATTGGAGAAAATATACAACCATTTGCAAGCTCGATGTGGAAGAAATGCCTTACCAAGAAGACGGCGGCCCCATCTTGGCCCAGGATCTGTAATGCTTCTTCGGCACCATCTCCAGTCTTAAATAGAGTACTGCTCTCGGAGGCTCCAGCTCCAGATAGTTGGCCACCCTTATTTCCATCCGAACTAACAGTTCCTCCAATACCGATATCTATCCTGCGCTTCCACATGTCTCTTGCATCATTCTCACCTCTTTTAACAGCGTTCAGTTCCCTTTCTTGTTCTCCCATGAGCTCATCTCGTCTGTCATCACCGCCCGCACCACCTGCACCACTCTTAGCATTCAGGTCCAGTTCCCTCTCTTTCCATTCCTCCTCATCAAGCACCTCTTCGACATCTGTAGCGAATATATTTTCCGCAAACTTCTCTGATCCCAGTTCGCGAATAAGTGCAGCTCGAGTGCTTGCAAAAAGTGTCTTGGAGCGTACGGGACTGTTTGAGGGAACGAATGAGAGGGCTATTAAGCCTGTTTCCGCGTGCTCCTGTGACCGCCTGAGCAGGAGGTAGATAGGAGTCTTGGGCTGTAGATGGTCCGCGAGAGACGGCAACGAGGCAAAAAATTGGCTGTTATCATCACCGTTGCTGCTGCTTCCATGCGAGAAAGAAATAGGTTGCAGGGGAACAAGCTGCTCGTCGGTGATTGTAATGGGCAGGCAGAAGAGCGAGGGGTTAGATAGGAAGCCCGCAAAGGCGTCATGAACCTCCGTAGAAACTATCAAGAGTGTTAGCGCCGCATAAATCATCAAGAACAAGCGTCGTACCTGATATGCCTGACTGCATCTTGATATGATGGCTACTCGGAGCTGGTGGTGGAAGTTGTGCTGGAGTTGCGTCTTCTTCCCCATGCGGCTCACCTGCAAGCTGAGGTCGGCCAAACGCCAAACTGATAACTAAGAGCCACCCAGCAAAACCTCCCCCACCGCTCGCCCCCGTTTTAGCCAACGTCAACAACACGCCTATCAAGACTAACACGCTCCCACTACCAAGTAATATGAGGCATACTTGGAACAGTTCAAGTTTAATATGTGTATGTATATATAATATATATAACATATCTATATGCAACCTTTTGAACGGCCGCCTTTTGATGCACCAAATCCAGACCCGGAAATCTATATACTACTAGTCTGTCTCAACATAGCCAAACCGTCCGACTGCAACGCATCAAACAGAAGGGGAAAACAACATAAAGAAGGAGAAAGAGAAAAGATAATACGCGTACATTGGGCCCTAACGAGCGCAGGGATGGAAAAAGAACAATACCCAGGGGATGAAAAAGCCAATATGAAGCCTGGGTTGATCGCTTTGAGCAAGGCATGGATATCACAGAGCGCGTTTATGTGTCGGTTCATGGAAGCAGAAGCTCAGGTTTTATAACAAGGAGGGTCGGAAGAGCGATGGGCTGCGGTTTTGAGGATTATGAGATGGATTTTCGCTCCTGAAGAGGTTTTCGTCGTTTATTCCTCATACTTTCCTCCCATGATGGACCAGTTGCTCTTCTCCAGCTTCTCCCTAAGGAACTCGTACACAGTGAAGGTGACTGCCTGTCCGGGGGCGACTCTCATGACTCGGGGAGTGATACCCTTGTAGAAAGCTCTGGCACCTTCTTGTTTGAACATCTCCTTTGATATGGCTGTGATGCGGGAGATGGCGGACTGTCCAGGCTCTCCGGGCGTCTTCTGCAGTCTGGTCTTGATGGTGTCAATCGGGGCATTGGAAAACGGACCCATGGCACCGGAAATAAGACCGATGCACATCGTCTGGTAGGATGGCAGTTCGGTGTACTGGGGTTGCCAATCCTTGAGGAGCTTTTTCAGCTCGGAGTAGGCAGTGAAGTTGGCTGCCTGGTTTGTTCCCTGACGGAGGGCCGTCAACGAAACACCGCGGTATATGGCACCAACACCTTCTTCTCTTATCACGGTGAACAAGGCGTGTGGTGCACTCCGGTATTTTGGCTTATCGAGGGGATCTGCCAGACTGTGGCTCTGGGCCTGCAAGCGAATCTTTATAACCTCCATGGGTGTGACGACGGCCACAGCTTCGGTTACACCAGCAGCCAGACCAGCTAAAAACAGCCAATTGTGTCAGTGTTGAACAGAGTCTACTCCTGCAGGGGCCGTGGGGCTTGTTGCAATCGCTCCAGTCTATGGACTTACCAAGCATATTGGCGGAACTCGAGAGTTTTCCAGTCTCGGGATTTGTTAGGTACTGCTTATAATAGCCATACGAAGTGAATCGGATAGCCATCTTTGGGATGATTCCACTGAGAACAGCTCCCAGACCCTTATACAGCCCCAAAGCAGTCTCTCGGCGCACAATCTCTTGTCCAGTCGCAAGAAAGCCGCGAGCTTTGACCTGAAGAGCGCAATTAGCACCAAGCTTTTATCGCGGTGCATATAGTATGATCAAAAGTCAGCAGCAAACTTACCCCCGGAGCTCGTGCTCGCTTCGAAAGCTGCATTCGTACTTTGATGGTATCTACGCATTTCCGTCAGTAAGAATCAAGCAACAGAGTGAGAAATTTGGACACTGTGACAACTTACCGAGCGGATGGCACACGAGAGCTTCCATCATTCCAGCACCACCACCGGCTATTAAATTCAATAGTCAGACATGTCTATTCTGTGCATCTTCAATCACCCAGCCTCAACCGAGCCCATTCAACGCTCACCGATCAGATTAACCGCCGCTGTGGCCGGCTGTTGCTTTTTGTCTTTTGAAGCCATTGCGGAATACTGTGAACGGAGACGATGGTAACTTGTTTGCTCGTACTGCAAATCTGATCGACTGGACTCGATTGAGTATATAGAGAAGCAAGCCCGCGAGAAAGGAAGAAAACAATGAGTCAAGAAGTGAATTGAATCGAAAGGGACGAGACGGAGTAGAAAAAGGACCAGCAAGGTCTCGCAAAAGAATGCCGAGGATCTCTCTCCCATGCGGGTCTGCTCGCCCGGCGTGAGGAACGGGCAAGGGACCCCACGACAAGGGTCACGGGCAAAATACGCAGGTTGTGAAGAGAGTTTACATTATGAGACGAGATGACTGGGATATATTAATCTTCTTTATTTTACTACTGGTCAAGCGCCCCAACATGGTGGAGCGGAGGATAGCCTGGGGCAGGAAATGTATAGCGGAAAACTCCCCGCATCACCGCTGTTACAATACGCATACGGCTAACAGCTAGAACATATACGGAGTGAGGAAAAACCAAGGGGTATGAGAGGCCGCAGGGGATAGCAAGGGACGGCTCAGCAAAAAAGAGAAATTAAGCGATTATAAATGCCTGGCCTGCAGCCAGTTCCAGAGCGGCCATGCGATCAGTTCCTTCATCCCTCCCCCTTATCGATAAAAAAAAAAATGCCTGGAGCTAGTTAGGTAACTACTTATTTCAGGGCAAGAACCGGGTATTTCTCAGGCACATCTGCAGCGTGCTAGGTGTATATCACCAGCTCCCATTTCTCCCACCCATCGCTCTGGGCTTCCAGTCCATGGACTCCCTTCCGAGGCTCAAGCCATGGCTGTCGTCATAGCATGCAATCTTGACAACAACACCCAGCGCAGGTGACACTCACATGCCGGCTCTTTGGCGGCGCTCCTTGCTGCGAGTCTCTCTCGCCAAATGCCGGCGGCAACTCGGAGGATTTGTCTCCGCCGCCAAAAAAAAAAAGAGCCGAGGTTCGCCCTCCAGCTGAGGCCGCAGCCGGAAGAACTTTCTCCGTTACCGAGAGCCAAGACCCGAAGGAACAAATCGGAACTAGGCTTAGGTAAGCCCCGGCGTTACCCTCCTGGAACTTTCATCTTTCTAAGCAACTTGTTCACAGACAGCAGGAAAGAATAATAGATGGCCATGGCAAAAGGGCAATCCTTGGGCCCGTTGGTTCATGTCAAGCGAGGGGCGGGCTTCAGCGTCCAGTGATAAGCTGGCCTTTTCTTCACACACGGCGCTTTCCACGGACTAAGAATATCCTTTTGGCTTGTTACATACTTAGTGAAACGCAGATATAATTGCGAGTCAGTCGGCATGTTTCGGCGATGATCGTCTTTCGGCCGGCTTGCCCGACAGCATCCCGATCTTCAGGGAGATTTGAACCACACAATGACATACAGGGATCCGATCTGTCGAGGCATCCCTCTGCCAACGCGAGACCAGCAGCCTTGCAACAGACAAATAAATCTTCTGCAATCTGCACCACATTTTTACAACAAATATTGTTACGTGGGCCTCAGAGAACCAATTGCTTCCTTCTGAGGTGTTGAAGGGTTCGTGCCATTGGGATAAAACGATACCTTGAGTTTGCTAACACGTTGGCTGAATACGGGTAAGATACGGTACAGCCAGTATAAGCGCGCATCCTTGAAATAAGCAAAAAAAAAACAAAAATATAGCGGTTCTTCATTGAGAGAAGGGTATTCTCGGCATTAAAAGGCACAGAAGCAACCACCAAAAATTCGGCTTAGGGAGGCTTCTCCACGTTCAAAGTTGATTTTCTAATTAATGCTCGAAGGATGTACGCTCAGGTCACACACTTCCTCAGTTGTTCCAAAGACCCTGAGCTTGTTTATGTACTTGCTCCAAAAGTCATCATCAAGTCGTGGGAGTAGCTTTCCTTCGATTACTTTCTGCTCAAGAAGACTGTCTTGCTCGGAAGGGCCCACAGAGCTAGCGCCGCTTTCTTCATCATCCATGTCCAACAGGAGGTCAAATTTGGTTGCATGACCATACACGAGCTTTTGCTGCGTCGTGTTTTCTGCCTTCCCTTGCTCATCTGGCTCGGTCTATAAATCCATCAGGTCAATCTCGGTAGCGTCCCCATTGGCTCGATTGACAAGTGCCTCTCGTGAACTACTTGTTTCATAGAGCTGCACCGCGAGCTTGAGGAAAATCTGGGCTGTCATAAGGCTGTCATACCCCGCTTCGTGCATTGGGGTACTGACGGTGTACGAGGAGTGATCTGGGTGGGTTTCTATACCATTTGCACAAAATGTTAGTTTCCGAGGAGAAAGAAGAAGCAGGTGCATTGAGTGAAACAAAATACCAAATTTAGGCACCACCCTTGAACCCAGGTTTTCCATGAGTGTTGACAGGGCTGAGGATGCGTCTCGTAATACCCCCCCGGTAGTTGCCATGTACTTCGTATCAATGACCAAAGGGAACAGCTCATTGATTGCTTGCTGGAAATCCTCCACACGACTGGGCAGGTCGCCAATGAAACATTTGTAAAAGTTGACAAGGTCGGTGAATAGATTGTGTCCAACTAAAACAGGAGGCCCTGACCTCAGCTTTTCCCGGAGAGCCTCACTTTCCTTTGTGAGTTTACTTCCTTCGGCTGCGGTGAACATGCCATCAGGCCTCCAGAGGAGTCTCAAGTCGAGCTTTGAAAGCTCGCTCCCCATCAAAGCTTCGATGACCCAGCTGAAGCCCTTCTGGCTAGCTATGTTGCAACGAGTGCGCTGGAGCTTCTTTTGGAGAAAAACATTCTCCCGCATCTTGTCATAGGGGAGTATCTGAATGAAGGATTTCTTCCCTATGCTCACATAGCCTGGGTACTCACTTTGAACGATCTGGTGCACGAGCCGCTTCTGGTAGTTGTCCAGCTCCAGTGGGAGTTTGTGGGCCGCGGTCATACCAGCGGGCTTTGGTATATTCAGATAGGCATCCTAATATTGTAGGTTAGTTTGGAATCTATATATTTGTGCTCTTTATAAGAGTGATTGCACTCACTTTTGGGGCGGGCTTCTCGATCCACTCCCTGATACTATGCCGGACTTGTCGAATGAATTGTGCATGACCCGGAGCCAATGTATCGAGATTGATCAGGGATCTCAACAACTTGTCCTTGTCTTTATGCGCTCGGTCCATTGCATCCTGTTCCTCTTTCATCGAGATATAGGGAACTCCATCTGTAAATATCGACTCTACCCGAAACCCATGGCTCATCAGGAAGGCCAGAGCTAAAGAAAACGACGATGTCACTTAGTATTGTCTAATACCTAGATGTGGTGAGCGAGAACTGGGACTGACCGCTGCTCTGAAAGGACCATTTTCTCTCCACACCCAGTCTTGGGTCCAGAATTGGGCTGAGAGGGATGTTATATGGCCGCAACGAATAGGTATCTATCATGACTTAGTCCACACAGCTGCATCTCGTAGTTCTCATTCAGGTATAGAAGGGATATCTCCAACCATTTTGACTATCCTCAACCACCAGTGTAAGGCCAACCTGGAGGATCTGATACTCCTCTGCAGCCTGCTTTACTTCTTCGTACCTCTTCTGCAGGCTCAGGTCACCATCAACATAGGCCGAAGCAGGCCGTAGCTTCTGGTTAAAAATCCCTGAGAATTCGAAGTCGAGGGCAACGAAAGAACAGTCTCCTATATCCTGCAGCATCCGTGGCAGAAGCCGGGAGAAGTTATTTCTCGTAACCTCCATGCTCGCCTTTATGCTTCATCTGCCAATCATCAAATCTAAGAGAAGAAAAAAGAAGGAAAGAAGAAAGAAATAAAAAAAAAAAACCCTCCCCCCAGAGGAACAGAGGAAGACTACTGATGTCTGACCAAAAGATATTCACATTCATGTAGTGAGTGAGTCCTATATAAAAAAGAAAGAAAAGACAGCGGCAAGGATAGACAGGACGCCTGGTGCTATTCCGTCCTGCTTCCTTCTGCTTTCTCTGTGGCAAGCAATAAGTTAGCTAACTAGTTAACTAGCTAGTCAGTGAGTTGTCAGGCTACAGCTCTTCACTATGCCTAGGAGGAGCTGTCACAGCCTGGGTGTACAGAGTAGATAAAGCACAAACATCCTGAAACTCCCTTGCTCAACATCAGACGGAAGGAAACAAACTGCTATGATTGTTCAAAAAGCCTTTTTCAACGTCAATAATAAACAAAGCAAAAAGAAAAGA